CCAGCCTGGGCGACAGAGCGAGACTCCATTTCAAAAAAAAAAAGTCAAAAGAAACAGGTGAAATTAACATTAATAATATATTTTATATAAGCCAGTATATCTAAAATAGCATCATTTCAATAAGTGGTCAATATTTTAAAAAATGATTGAGATATTTTACATTCTATTTTTCATACAGTCTTTGAAATCTAGTATATAATTTCCATTTACAGCAACATATCGACTCAAACTAGCCACAGTTCAGGTGGTCGGTAGTGCTGAAATCCAGGGGCCTGTGGGATGCTGGGGAGCACCAGAGGGCCCCTAACTCAGCCAGAGGACACATGGGAGATTCTGTTTGTTATTCCAAGACACATTTATCCAGGGCCTGTGACATGCCTGCTTCCTAGAGGTGTGACAGCCTCACCACATCATGATCAGAATAAAAATATTCCCTCCTGGTTGAAAAGAGGAACTATTAGAAGGTGACATGTGATCACTTAGCAAATGAGTTGCGTATTTATTGTCAACGTATGTTTTTAATCGTGGCAGAATAGACATAACATAAAATGTATCACCTTAATCCTCTTTAAGAGTACAATTCAGTGGCATTAAGCACATTCATCTGTCTGTGTAGCCATCACCACCATCCATCTCCAGACTTTTTTCATCTTTCAAAACCAAAGCTCTCTACCCATTAAACAGTAACTCCTTCTTCTCCCCACCCAAGGCCCCGGCAGCCACCACCACTCTGTGTGCCTTAATGAAATTGACTAGTCTAGGTCCCTCATATAAGCGGAATTATACAGTATTTGTCTTTTCATGTCTGGCTGACTTCACTTGGCATAATGTCTTTCTTTCTTTTTTTTTTTTTCTGAGATGAAGTCTCTTTCTGTCACCCAGCCTGGAGTGCAGTGGTGCAATCTCAGCTCACTGCAACCTCCGCCTCCAGGGTTCAAGCAATTCTCCTGCCTCAGCCTCCCAAATAGCTGGGATTACAGGTGCCCGCCACCACACCGGGCCCTTCACTTGGCATAATGTCTTTAAAGTTCATCCCTGTTTAGCAGGTGTCAGAACTATTCTGTATAAGGCTGAATGACATTCCATTGTGTGTATAGACCACACTTCACTCCTCCATCCATTGGTGGGTGGAAACTTGGGCTGCTTCCAGCCTTTCAGCTATTATGAAAATGCCTTGTGAACAGGATGTACAAATATCTCTTCAACACCCTGTTTTCAGTTCTTTAGAGTAAATACCTAAGAGTGGAGTTACTAGATCAGATGGTAATTCTATTTTTATTTTTTGAGGAACCATCATACTATTGTCACTTTCTTTTTTTTTTTTTCCAGAAGGAGTCTTGCTCTGTCACCCAGGCTGGAGTACAGTGGCACAATCTTGGCTCACTGCAACCTCCACTTCCCAGATTCAAGGGATTCTCCTGCCTCAGCCTCCTGAGTAGCTAGGATTACAAGCACTCACCACCACGCCCAGCTAATTTTTTTTTTTTTTTTTTGTATTTTCAGTAGAGATGGGGTTTCACCACATTGGTTGGCCAGGCTGGTCTCAAACTCCTGACCTCAGGTGATCTGCCCACCTCGGCCTCCCAAAGTGCTGGTATTACAAATGTGAGCCACTGTGCCTTGCCCATCACTTTTTAAAATAGCCTTTTTAGGGGGGTACAGTGGCTCACACCTGTAATCCCAGCACTTTGGGAGGTCAAGGTGGGCGGATCACCTGAGGTCGGGAATTTGAGACTAGCCTGGTCAACATGATGAAACCCTGTCTCTACTGAAAATACAAAAAATGGCCGGGCATGGTAGTGCACACCTATAGCCCCAGCTACCCGGGAGGATGAGGCACAAGAATCGCTTGAACCTGAGAGGCAGAGGTTGCAGTGAGTCAAGATCACGCCACTGCACTCCAGCCTGGGCGACAGAATGCGAATCTGTCTCACATTTAAAAAAATAATAATTAATTAATTTAAATAAAAGAGCATTTTTGGTCAGATATGGTGGCTCATACCTGTAATCCCAGCACTTTGGGACGCTGAGATGGAGGGATCACTTGAGCCCAGGAGTTGAAGACCAACCTGGGCAACTTGGTGAGACCTCATCTCTAATCTCTACAAAAAAAAAAAAAAGAATTAGCTGGGCATGGTGGCACATGCCTGTAATCCCAGCTACTCAGAAGTCTTAGGTGGGAAAATCGCTTGAGCCAAGAAGGTCAAGGCTGCAGTGAGCCGTGATCGCACCACTGCACTCCAGCCTGGGTGACCCAGCACGACCCTGTCTCAAAAAATAAAATAAAACAGGCTGGGTGCAGTGGCTCATACCTGTAATCCCAGCACTTTGGGAGGCCGAGGCAGGTGCATTGCCTGAGGTCAGGAGTTCAAGACCAGCCTGGCCAACATGGTGAAATCCCATCTATACTAAAAATACAAAACTCAGCCGGGTGTGGTAGCACATGCCTGTAATCTCAGCTACTTGGGAGGCTGAGGCAGGAGAATTGCTTGAGCCTGGGAGGCTGAGGTTGCAGTGAGCTGAGATCGTGCCACTGCACTCCAGCCTGGGTGACAGAGCAAGACTCCATCTCAAAAAAAATGAAATAAACATTTAAAAAATAAATAAAATAAATTTTCCAGCCAGGAGTTCTGTGAAAAAATATTTGTAAACCTAGAAAAAGAAATGGAGAAAATTGATCATTAACTGTCCTCTTTCCCTCCACAGTTTTTGGGCCATCCTCATCATAACACACTTCTGTTTTTCTCCTTTCCATTCTCGGATGAGAATGATGTTTTTGACAAGCTAAGTGTCATTGCAGAAGACTCTGAGAGCAGCAAGCAGAATCCTGATGACAGCTGCAGCCTCGGGACCCTGCCTGGGCAGGGACCCCAGAGCTAGGCTCTGAGAAGGAAACACACTCGGCTGGGCACAGTGACATGCTCCATCTCACATCTGCCTCAGTGAGGGATCAGGGCGGAAAACGAGGGCCAAGACCATCTAAGCCAGCCCCACATCTAGAACTCCCAGACCCTGGACTTACCTAAGCAACCAAAGAGCTACATTTTAAAGGTTCGCTTGGCAAAAATATTCCATTTGGGAACTCACTGCCTTATAAAGGCTCTCGCGATGTTTTTAAAAGTTGGCCACTGAGAGTGTAATTTTCAGCCCCTTATATCACTAAAATAGGATCATGTTTTAATTGTGAGAAACAGGGCTGAGCGCAGTGGCTCACGCCTGTAATATCAGCACCTTGGGAGGTTGAGGCAGGCGAATCACCTGAGGGCAGGAGTTCAAGACCAGCCTGGCCAACATGGTGAAAGCCTGTCTCTACTAAAAATGCAAAAATTAGCTGGGCGTGATGGCACATGCCTATAATCCCAGCTACTCAAGTGCCTGAGGCAGCAGAATTGCATGAATCCGGGAGGAGGAGGAGGTCGCAGTGAGCCGAGATAGCGGCAATGCACTCCAGCCTGGGTGAAAAAGTAAGACTCCGTCTCAAAAAAAAAAAAAAAAAAAAAAAAAAAAAAAAAATTGTGAGAAACAGAAATATTTAAAAATTTTAAATGAGGAATAAGAATGGAGATGTTGTAACATTCTACCAGATTATGGATAGATTGATCTGAAAATCAACCTCAACTCAAGGGTGGTCAGCTCAATGCTTTCCAGAACACAGACTTTTGGATTCTTTGGGGTACTTTGACTGAATATATTTTTCTACCTATATATGTTTTATATGCTGCTGGTGCTCCATTAAAGTGTTACTCTGTGTGGCACTGTATGTGTTCATGATACATGATACTACCTGTGTGTAATTGTTAGATACACACAGTGTGAAAAAGGCTCTAGTTTGCCATCTTGATGTCCACTCATTCCACAAGTACTTCCTAGACCCTGCCTGCTGTTGACCAGGCACTGTGCTAGGTACAAGGTCTGAGTTATCTGGGATCTCTCAGTCTAAAGCTTCAAAAACTAGATTTGCAGTCAAGGGCCAGATCTGTTATTTAAAAAACAAACAAACAAACAAACCCTAGAAATAAAAAGTATAGTTGTGGAAGTTTGAAAAGCCAGGGGACAGGCTTAACAGCAGGTTAGACACAGCTGAGACTAATTTTGACTTTGAACTGAGCAAAAAAGGGAATCTCCAGGTACAATGGCTCACTTCTGTAATCCCAGCACTTTGGGAGGCTAAAGTGGGAGGATCACTTGGGCCCAGGAGTTGAGACCATTCCAGGCAACATGGTGAGACCCCTTCTCATAAGAAGTTTTAACATTAGGCATGGTGGCATGTGTCTACAGTCCCAGCTCCTCAGGAGGCTGAGGTGGGAGGATAGCTTGAGCCCAGGAGGTCAAGACTGCAGTGAGCTATGTTCACGCCATTGCCCTCTGGCCCTGCCTGGGTGATGGAATGAGACCCTGTCTCAAAAAGAAAAAAAGAAAAGAAAAGGAAAGGTATTAGGGTTCTCCAGAGAAACAGAACCAATAGAATGAACACAGAGATTTATTTTAAGGAACTGTGGAGGCTGGCAAGTTCAAAAACTGCAGGGCAGACCAACAGGCTAGAGACCCAGGGAAGAGTGGATGTTTCAGCTTGAGCAAAAGCAGTCTGGAGGCAGAATTAACTCTTCCTCAAGGGACCTCAGGCTTCTGTTCTCTTAAGGCCTTCCTTCAAGTGATAGAAGTGGAACTCACCCACATTATGGAGGGTAATCTGCTTTACTCAAAAATCTATGGATTTAAATGTTACTCTCATTTTTAAAAATACCTTCACACCGACATCAAAACTAATGTTTTACCCAATCAATCTAGCTAGGTTGACACATAAAATAACCATCATAGGGAGGGTAGATCTGTGATTGCTTTTTTGAAACTTTTTTCAATGTTTGCTGCATGTATATAGAAATAAAATTTGGCCAGGTGTAGTGGCTCACACCTGTAATCCTAGCACTTTCAGAGGCTGAGGCAGGTGGATCACCTGATGTCAGGAGTTCAAGACCAGCCTGGCCAACATGGTGAAACCCCATCTCTACTAAAAGTACAAAAATTAGCCAGGCATGGTGGTGCACACCTGTAATTCCAGCTACTTGGGAGGCTGAGGCAGGAGAATCACTTGAACCCGGGAGGTGGAGACTGCAATGAGCCAAGATCACACCACTGCACTCCAGCCTGGGTGACAGAGGGAGACTCCATCTCAAAAAAATAAATAATAAATAAAATGTAGTTTTGAAGTTGAATTTTAAGACCTTATTACACTTTTTTAAAGAGAAAGAAGTTATTATCTAGGGCACAGTACAGAGAAACAAAAGAATGGAAAATATGAGTGGTTAGGATACAAGACGTATGAAGGGTAGAGTGAGATAACCTACCACATGTTGGTTACTAACCAGAGTCCCAGAAGGAGGTGAGAGAGAATATAGCAAAAGCAGCATGCGAGTATTTGAAAAGACAATGGCTGATAAAAGACACCAGTCTACCAATTTAGGAATCTCAACAATCCTCAAGCTGGGCAAATAAGAAGAAATCATATCAGTGTGAAAATGCAGAACACCAAAACCAGAAAAGTCAGGTTACCTTCAAGGGTGAAAAACAACCAAACTTCCAGATGATTTATCAGCCCTAACAGAAGGCAAACAGTGGTAGGATTCCTTTCATGTGCATCACAAACTTTATCAACTTAGAAGTGTATATTTTGCAAAAAAAAAAAAAAATCTGTCAGGAAAAGGGATAAATAAAGACTGAAACAAAACTGTGAGAATTCAACATCAAAACATGTTTATTAGATAAAGATCTAAAGGATTATTTCAGACAGAAGGAAATTGATCCCAGATGGATGCTGCGATATTATGAAGAAATATAGGAAAGAAACTGGTAAATATTCTGGTTAATCTAAACAAACATTGACTCTATAAAACAATAGTTTTTTTCTCTTTTTTCCCTGAAGGGTATCATGTCAGATTATAGTTAGTGACACACCACATGTTGTATAATAGGTCTCGAGTTTAAATCATTGGTTTTTTTAGTTGTTGTTTTGGACGTTTTTGCTGACACAATACCTTTGGGAAAAGTACTCCTGAGTCAGAAGGGATAACAATGTCTTTTCAAGGTTCTCCACTCCTTACTCTCTCCCTCGCATAAAGAAGCCATGGCAGAGGCACCTGAAGAAGATCTTGGATAGAGAGACCTGGGAATGAAGGAGCCACGGCTGGGAATGCAGGTGTGTGTAAGAACTTGGCAGGTCAGGGGCCTAAAACCTTGACCTCAGCTCCCTCCAGGGACTGCAGTGTCCCGGCTGTGCCAAGTCAGGTGTGGGTAGGGAGTCTCCCCGTTAGACTACCAGACCTTGCAGTTGCCCATAGCCAAGCCTGTAAAATGACATGCAGGATTTTAACCGGAAGCTGGACTTCTCAGCTTCCTGTCTACAGAACCCACCCAGTCATATACAATCATAGTGAAATATCACCCACCTGGAATAACCCACCCTTGACTTGCTGCCCCACTCCAGGTACTGTCACATTTCTCTGGCAAATCACTAAGAGAGTAGCTTTTAAGTGTTTTTTAACACAAAAGATGTTAAGTATATGAGGTAATGCATATTTTAATTAGCTCAATTTACCCATTCCACAATGTATACATATTTCAAAGCATCATGTTGTACATGATAAATAAATACAAGTTTTATTTGTCAATGATAATTTTTTTTTTAATTTAAACAATGAGTTTTTAAAACAGCTAAAATACAGGTGAGGGAAAATTAAAGTACTTTAAAGTTGTGTTTGGGAGAAGGATAAATACACTGATTAATCTGAGACATAGATGAGTTTAAGTATGTTAAAATTTCTAGAGTAACCTCATTAACAAAGAAGTTTTTCTCAGTGGGGAGGGGGGTGAGTTTTGTCCCCCAGTGGACATTCAGCAGTGTCTGAAAACAAATCTGGCTGCCACGGCTGGAGATGTGTTGCTGGCATCTAGTAAATAGAGGTCAGGGAAGCTGCTAAGCATCCTACGATGCACAGGGAGGCCCACACAGCAAAGAATCATCCAGTCCAAAATGTTAATAGTGTAGACACTGAAAACCCCTGTGCTAGAGGAAAACGTGAAATAAAATTACCCAGTCAGCGCCGGGCACGGTGACTCATGCCTGTAATCCCAGCACTTTGGGAGACCGAGGCGGGCAGATCACTTGAGGTCAGGAGTTTGAGACCAGCCTGGCCAACATGGCGAAACTCCGTATTTACTAAAAATACAAAAATTAGCCAGGCGTGGTGGCAGGCACCTATAATCCCAGCTACTCTGGAGGCTGAGGCAGGAGAATCGCTTGAACCAGGAGATGGAGGCTGCAGTGAGCCGAGATGACGCTACTGCACTCCAGCCTGGGCACCAGAGCAAGACTCCATCTCAAAAA